CTCTCTCTCACTATCTCTCTCTCTCTCTCACTATCTCTTTCTCTCTCTCTCACTATCTCTCTCTCTCACTCATCGCTCCTCACGCGCATCAACCAGAAGATGAAGATTATCTGTATTATAAAATTGTTTCACTGTTGTTGTTTTTTTTCATTTGTTTTGACATGTGTATGAACTTTTTGTTTTTCTCTGTTTTAATAGATAATGATGAATTGTAATTGTAAATAGTTAATTTAATGTTTTGTTTTAATGTTTTTGGTGTCAGGAATACATTGGGTGACAATTTACATATTTATTAATTTTAAAAAAGCTTTTTATTTTTTTAAATATTTCTGCATGGTTTTCTAATACTTTTTATATTAGTTAAGTTCTTTTTGGTGTATTGCTCTACAGGTTGATCGTTCTATCGCCCTTCTGAAATCTCTTGGTATAGAAAGAGAGAGATGGGAAGCAACTAGCGAGACCTTCCGTTCTCAGATGTCTACTATCATTGGCGATGTGTTGCTGTCTTCAGCATTCCTGGCTTATGCTGGCTACTTTGATCAACACGTAGGTTATGTTCTTATGTCTCTCCTTCATTCTCAGCTTCAGATCAGTGCAAACACTCTTTTGAGATGCCACAGTAAATTTGAAATGATATTTTTTGATGTGTTTGGAAGTTTACGCTGATCCACAAATACAAAATATGGTTGCGTAGGCATCTGCAGCCGGAGTTTATGTTGGCTGGGCTATCCGGGACGAGCCGCGTCAATGTCATGGGCAGTTCGCTCTGAAGAAGGCCACAATACGCTGGCCGAAACGTTAGCCACCATGACATTGACGCGGCTCGTCCCGGATAGCCCAGCCAATACAAATACAAAAATCTATGCACTTTAAATTGACAAAATCATAAGCATATTATTGTTATTATTATTATTATTATTATTATTATTATTATTATTATTATTATTATTATTATCATTATCATTATCATTATTATTATTATTATTATTATTATTATTATTATTATAGTGTGTATATCCCTTTGTCTTCTTTCTTTTCTTTTCTCCTTCTTTCTTTTCTTTCCTTTCCTTCACTCTTTTTTTTCCCTTTCCTTCCTTTCTTTTTCTTGTATTAGTGATCAAAACTGTATCTGGGGCTTTATGAATTTTCTTTTTACAGTACCGACAGAATCTTTTTGCAACATGGTGTCACCATCTGCAACAGGCAGGCCTGCAATTCAGGGTGGACATTGCACGCACAGAGTACTTGTCCAACCCGGATGAGAGGTTGAGGTGGCAAGCCAACGCTCTTCCGTCAGATGATCTATGCACTGAGAATGCCATCATGTTGAAGGTAATTTGATGAGCTTTCTTCTGTCTCTGATTTTAGTTTCATTATTTTGTATCTTTTTTTTGGTCTTCTCTGCTTCCTTTTTGAGATTAAGATTCCAAGTCTAGTTTGCTCTTCTAGCAACAGTAAATATCTGACATTGGTAGATATTTATATTAAATTTCTAAATCAGTGGTTATTAATTAAATTTGTTTTGAAAATTGTTGTTGTGACCCTGGTGGATATAATTTGTAAAATGAGAATTAAAAAAACCTGTAATAGCACTCATGCAGATTTTGATTAATACAAGGTTCAAAGAAAATAATCCAAGCAAAAAAATACATATTTGTAACAGGTAATGGTAACATAAATAACAGCTTATTTGGAATTCAAAATTTTGCTGTTATTATGTGTTTGCTGTGTTTACTCTTCTCTCATTGTTGATTCCTAGGCAATCCTAGCCATTTGGATTTGAAAATCCTTATTCCTGATCCTTACCAATGAGTTCCTCTGTGCCGAGTGCTTAGTGGATAATGCACTGTGTGAATGATGTCAGTGTGGTGAGATATCAATAATTTTTCCTGGCATTATATACTAAATAAACTCCATTGTTCTAATCTTTATTTGCCTGTTTCAGAGATTCAACCGATATCCATTAATCATCGATCCTTCTGGTCAGGCCACAGAATTCATTATGAATGAGTTCCGTGATAAGAAAATTACAAAAACTAGTTTCTTGGATGATTCGTTCCGTAAGAATTTGGAATCTGCATTAAGATTTGGTAATCCATTGCTTGTTCAGGTATGGCACTTTGTCAATCTTCTATTTGGTTTTTAAGGTAAATTTGTTGAGCTCTTAGAATCTTGCAGTATTTAGTAAATGACCTAGCAGAAGTCTCACTGAAAGAGTGTTTGGTGCTTTGCCAAAATCTCCAAAGACATGAAAGTTAATATTAATATTTCTCCTTACAGTTAAAATGAAATAAATTCATTGCATTATTCATGTTTATACTTGATTGGAATTCTAATTAATTTCTTTTTAAGTTGGGCTTTGCTTGTTGGCTTAGGTTTATATTTTAAAAATGATCTATCTTAACCATTTTTTAAATGAATTGAAATTCTTTATATTATTTGAACAAACCAAATAGGCTTCTCAAAATTAATTTTGTTATAAATTTTTTTATTATTATAGAGTGCTGATTTTTAATTTTAAAAAGAACATAGTTGTGCTGATATATTTTTTGTTTTTTCAGGATGTAGAAAACTATGATCCCATTCTCAACCCTGTTCTGAATCGTGAACTCCGACGTACCGGAGGTCGAGTTCTCATTACATTGGGAGATCAGGACATTGATTTGTCTCCATCATTTGTCATCTTCTTGTCGACGCGTGATCCAACTGTTGAATTTCCTCCTGACATTTGCTCCAGAGTGACGTTTGTCAACTTCACAGTCACTCGAAGTTCTCTGCAGAGTCAGTGCCTCAACCAGGTCTTAAAGGCGGAAAGACCCGATATTGATGAAAAGAGATCTGACTTGCTGAAACTGCAAGGTAAGATTCTGTTAAGAGATGAAAAATAAAATAAAATAAAAAAGTCTTTTGCTTTGGGTGCCTCTTTTGTTGTGGTGGATCTTGACTTCTGTGATTATCTTATTTCTTTGGCTCCTATCTCTTTGCTTCCCATAATTTTTTATCTTTATTCTGAAAATAATTAACAAAAAAATACTTGCCACCTAGTTTTTAGTTTGGCTTTTGTTCCAAAACCCTCAAGCCTTTTTTTATTTATTTATTTTCAAATGTATTTAAATGTACATTACTGTTACATTCACATGAAGGTATATTTTGAAATGACTTGTAGTGCATTTGCAGTTACATTTAGGTGCACAGTTTAAGAAAATTTAATAAATAAATTGGGAGATTTTTTTGGTATTGAAGTCCTTTGAATATTTTCTTAATAAATAACTATAAAAAGATAAAACTTTTGCCCTCCAGGTGAATTCCACCTGAGACTGCGCCAGTTGGAGAAATCGCTTCTACAGGCATTGAATGATGCAAAGGGTAAAATCCTGGATGATGATAGTGTGATTACAACTTTGGAGACACTGAAACAAGAAGCTGCAGATATCAGCAAAAAGGTTGAAGAGACAGACAAAGTCATTGGAGAAATTGAAACAGTTTCTCAGCAGTATATGCCATTGTCACAGGTGGGAGGAAATTTGAGCAACTCTTTATTTTGTGGGTCTGTGAAGCGAAGAAAGTATGTAGTATGTATGAACTTTTTTTTTTTATTTTTAGGCCTGCAGCAATATTTACTTCACAATGGACAGTCTCAACCAAATTCATTTCCTATATCAGTATTCTCTCAAGTTCTTCCTTGATATATTCAGTTCAGTGCTATACAGGAACAATAAACTGAATAACGTTACGGATTATGCTGCCAGATTAGCCATTGTTACAAAAGACTTGTTTGGGGTAAGTTGTATATTGATTTCTTCTCTGGGAAAATATATAAATTGAGAAAGTGATTTTTATAATGTAGTGTCTGGTTTTGGGATACATGTAGGCAAGCGATAATTTTTTAAGAGAGCAAATGACCAGAAAGAATATTTTGAAATGCAGTTTGTTTTAAAAATTCAAAAGCCAAACCTTATTATTTAGTGCCTTTGGTATAAAATCTTACTCAATAATCACTGTATACTTTTCAACTAAAAGAAATTGTGTACAGGTACCACTGAAAAATTGCCCCAAAACGTTCCTGGGTGGGTGCTTTTTTTTTATTCAGTTGTATAACATCAGGATTTTTTGTATGTCTCTTTCCTTATACAGTAAAATTACACAAATAAAGTTTTGGAATTAAAAAAGTTCAATTTTTTCTCTAAAACAAAATTTGTCATGTTATAATTATTTCAGGTACATTGAAAGTAACTATCTACATTACATAAAGGTAGTGTAAATGGATTTCTGGATAATGTAACTAATTATGACCCTCTCACTGCTAATTGCTGCACATTTCTGGCAGGTCCCATGTGCTGACTTATCAGCCAGACTTTGCACTGTTGCACGGCACCCTCAGTGGAGTTTATTTTAAGTATTTCCCACCTTTTATTTTTTTCCAACAATTCCTTTTTTGATAAAGGTGAACACGCCGTCATACTGATTAAATTAATATCCATATCAAAATAAACTTGGTCAAAATCTGTAAAGCAACTCCAAGTATTAAATGTATGTCTGTATTAGAATCATAAAGATCTCCAAATATGAATGCAAGAACACCAGAAAACAAAATGAATGCTTGCCAAGTATTTCCTTTAAAGGATGCGCTTTTGGGGCAAGAGAAGAAAGATGTACTAGGGTTTCAAATTGTTTATTCTGTGAGGCAAGCCCTAGCAGCTTTTGTGCTGAACCTTAGGGAATTGCTGACAACTTCAGATCTGTTCAGACACCTCCAAAGTGAATTTAGCTTCATCTATTTGCAATAAAAGAAAGCCTTAGAATCTTAGGAAGATTCCAGATGCCATGTAAGTCTCAGATCCGCCATACATGCTCTTGTTGAAATGATAAAAACCAAATAACTGAGAACAATAATGGACATTCATAGCACTGGGGGTCACTGTCCCTCCCGCACACACTAATATGTTCATAGCACACAGGGCATGGATCCTGACAGATGTAAAAGCATTTTCATAGCAGAGAAAGGGTTAAATAATAAAAAACATATCCATCGCAATGTTTAAAAAGTGTTGGTTAGCTTTCTCATCTTCTAGATTGAAATATTTTCTTATTCTTTCATTTTTAAACGCTGAAACTTTGTGTGATGTCTCAATCTTCTTCTGCAGGTTTGTTATGAACGTGTCGCAAGAGGTATGCTGCATACAGACCGCCTGACATTTGCTCTCCTGCTTTGTCGTATCCATTTGAAGGGAGTGCCCTCTGAGCCTAGTTTGGATGCAGAATTCAATTTCTTCCTGCGTGGCCGTGAAGGCATGCTAACACAGCGTCCACCCACTATGGAAGGACTCAACAATGAGCAATTAGAAGCATTGTTCAGGCTCTCTACAAGGTAAGGAATGCAAATGTGTACTTGTGATGGCTACTGAATTTGTTCTGGTTAAGAAAATGAAAATGCAAATAATTCAATTTGTATAAATTTCTGGTGTGATGTTTCCTGAAAATTTTGAAAAAATTCTCTGTTGTAAAGTACATTAAAACTAACAAAAAAACAGTGATAAAAAGTGCTACTGCTTTCTAATGAATTTTGTGATGATCTTAAAACAAGCTTCCAGAACTCCAAAAAAGACAGCATTTATGGTTTTTTTGAGAAGGGCACAATTGTTTGGAGTTGATTAAAGAACTTGTGAAAGTTGTGCAATAGTAAGCAGGCGTGGCAGTGAAAGAAGGCATTTTGTTCCCAGACTTCCCGCCTTCAAGAACTTAGCAATGCGGATCCAAGAAATGCCGGAGTTGAGCGCTTGGCTGCAGCAGAGCACTCCTGAGCAGTGCGTGCCCCAGCTCTGGCAGGAGGAAAAACCCCTGAGCACAATTGGCACAGCGATGTATCAGTTGCTGCTCATTCAGGTAGAGTTGGTTTATTTTATTATTTTTTTTATTTTGTTTTCTTTTGTTTATTGAAATAGATGTGTCTCAATACGCGTAGTGGCGAGCATAAAGGTGTAGCACCTTTATGCTGAGGCATGCCAGTGATTGGGAGGTCGCAGGTTACATCCCATCAATGTGACAGTAATTAACTTCATGCAATACAAATGCCATTCTGCAAGTTTCAAAAAATACTAGCAACAATGAATATTTATCCTGAATATCAACTTCTTTCCAAGTTAAGATTGATTTTTTAACACTATTATAGAAAGTAATGAAGACTTGCTGTAATGGGATAAAAACTTGTGGGAAGGGTTAATGCGAAATTAAATACCAGTCACCAATGTGTTAAATTAATTCAGTTTACTTAATGATTCGAATTTATACTGGATTCTTAAAGAATAATTAAGAAATAAGTTTGCGTTAGAATTTGTATGATTTTTCAAAAATGATTTGCGTGAATGTAATGACCTAATTGATGGTCTTCAGGCTTTCCGTGCTGATCGTGTGATAGCTGCTGGTCAGCAACTCGTGGCTGCAGTGTTAGGTCCAGACTTCATGCCTGCTGCAGAGAAAGAATTGGACTTGCCCAGCATTGTGGAGAATGAAGTGACTGCAAGTGTGCCGGCCCTCTTGTGCTCAGTGCCTGGCTTTGATGCCTCGGGCCGCGTAGATGATTTGGCTGCTGAACTCGGTCGACCCTTAGCGGGTATCGCAATTGGGTCAGCTGAAGGCTTCAGTCAGGCAGACCGTGCTATTAACTTAGCTGTGAAATCTGGCAGGTTAGTACTCTGTGGTTTAAACTGTGTATTCAGTATTGTTTATTGTGTCAATGTTTTCAGTTTTGTACTCTGTGTGCATTCTCCATGGTAGTCAAAAGGATACGAACCCTTAAGAACCAAAAATAGTCTGTAGCAATAGGAGAGTAGAGCTGGTGTAATGCGTTCAGTTACCTAGGCAATAAAATAAGAAAAAAAATGTTAACCTGGATTTAAAATTGAATAGATACATTTTTGCACCACAAATTCATTTATGCCGAAAAATGAACTTACAATAGAAACTGTAATCGAACTATAGAAAATAATATTCTTAACTCATCTTACAATTCATAAATAAGTGCTGGACACCCATTAAAGATCAAATAATGGAATCAACAGGTATGAAATTTCTTTAAAATACAGTTGGATATGGTCTTGACCATATTAAAAGTGAGGAAATAAAATGTTAAGTATAGAATATATTAGTAAACCGTGGAGAATAAAATGAAAGAAGAAGAAAACTAAAATATCCAAAGAACGAATAACGAGAAGAGCTTTGATTTGTAAGCCAAGGCAGAGAAGCATCTTGAAGAAACCACCAAGATGATGGAGGGATTTCTAGGGGCTGAAACAGACTTGAACAGTCTTGTCCTAGAAACTGGTGTTAATGATGATGATGATTACGATGATGACATACTGAGTGGACATCTGCTACAATGATGTTGGTAGTGGTCTTGCCTCAGAGCTAAATTGGCAAGCCACTTCTAGTATCCACTAGTTGTACCTTCCACTTTCACCCAAAATCAAAACAATAGGTACTACCTATTCCCAGATTAAAATTTCCTGACACTTGGTGAGTTAAGAGATGCAGCACTATTATTTATTCAGAAGCTCCGAATAGAATAATTGTTACCTCTCATAACTCACCAAGTGTCAAGAAATTTTAAAATATATCCACCCAAATGGGAATTTTGAATGATAAACACTTCTTAGGGTTATAATTTATCTTAAATGAATAGTTTTGAAGATATGCCAGTGTCTAGACTAACATTCCTAGTTTTTGGACTCAGAAAAAAATTCAAAGTCTGGAAATAGTTGCAAGCAAAAAATAGAAAAAATTGTTGCGTCAGTCTGATTCTGAGGTAGTTTTTCGAAGATTGGATGCCCCAATTTGGGAGAAACATGAAGTGTTTTTTTATTGTAATATCTACTAGATGTCCTACATAAATTTGTCTGTAGCATTGCTGACATGACTTTTCCCCAACATAAATGTCTGTGCCAGTGAAAAGGTTAATACACAGATGTATAATAATAGGGTGAATATATGGATTAATTTTCTGTGAAAACAACACTATTTTTAACTGCAAGAAGCAATCTGACTAGGTTTAAGACCATCTATTAAAGAATGAGTAATTCATGCTTGCCACTGATCATGATGCAAATATGTTTAATTCTCTGCGATTTCATTTTGGTTCTAGTGGTTCGTTTCCCTACAGAATTCTGTGTGTGCTTCTTTTCATCGGTAGTTGTACAAAACTGAAATAGGTTTTATACATAATGAGTGTTTAAATGTTATCTATTATAGTATACAACATTATATATTGAAGCCTGTAATGTTATGTATATATACTAAATGAAATGAACTTATACTTGTTTAAAAACTTTTATATTTGTCTTGCAGTCAAAGTATTAATGAAAGTTATAAATGAGAAAAACAAAATATCAGTTATGATTTTTACTATATTTTAGTCTTTATCAATAAGAATTTACTTTGTATAAATCAACTTTATTTTGAGGAAGAAAAGAGAAATTACTAAAATTTAAAAGAATTTTCAATTTTCTGTATTCAAAAACTACTAATAGTTTTATATTTGCATATTTTTCCATTGTATGATATTTAGTGTCAGAATTTCTGCCTTAATAATGCTTATTCTCTTGTTCATTCAGATGGGTTCTCTTGAAGAACGTTCATTTAGCACCTCAGTGGTTAGTGCAGCTAGAGAAGAAGCTTCATTCATTGCAACCGCATGCAGCTTTCCGGCTCTTCCTGACAATGGAGATCAATCCAAAAGTGCCTGTCAACCTCTTGCGTGCTGGACGGATATTTGTGTTTGAACCGCCACCCGGTATTCGGGCCAACCTTCTGCGCACATTCAGTACTGTAAGATTCTGTTCATTAGGCTTTACAGTAAATTTATTTACTTTTGTAAATTAATTATTTACTTATTCGTTTATGATGTATGACTACAAAAGAATTACAGCAAACAAGTATAAACAAATATCCATTTTGCATGATATGTAGCCAACATCTGTGGGACAATCTCTTTCTGCTGAGGTAAATTGCCTTTATGCTGGTTCGAAGAACATCTTTATTTATAATTATTAACAATGAGGATTAAAATAAAATTTATAATATAAAAGATTAATCGAGTTTATAAGCATCACATAAAACCACAAAAAACTCTGTAATGTTAATACCAGCAGAAAGCATTCCTCCATCAGAATTAATATTTTAGTTTCCATATCAACTAATTGCTGCCATTGTTCCTTCTATCTCATGGCTTGCTATAGAGCCTAACCATTGTCCAATTGTCTTTTTATATTATTATTATTTTTTTTTTTTTTTTCCCTCCCATGTATTAAATGTTTTAAGATATCTGGTAAGATGTTAAATGCTTCATAACCAATTATTGATTCTTCTGCTGATTTCTTTACATATTTGGAGAGTTTTAAAATTTAATTCTTGATTTTTTTATTTATCTTCAAGTCATATTGATTATGTAATGTTTTATAGTTAATCAACAGTGGTTTGTCTGTCTGAAGTATCTACGAATATTTAAGATATTTTCCTCCCTATATAGTTGTTCAGAAGGATACAATTTGTAATTAGTATATAATATATAATTAGTAGTGTTTATTACATTCCCTTGTGTTAAATATAATAATGTCAGCAATTTGCATTCTTTGGTGTTACAGAAATTCAAATGTAATTTTTTTCAGGTCCCTGCCTCACGAATGATGAAAGCTCCTAGTGAGCGTGCTCGTTTGTACTTCTTGCTGGCATGGTTCCATGCCATAGTTCAGGAACGCCTGCGGTATGCTCCTCTTGGATGGGCAAAGTATTATGAATTTAATGAGTCCGATCTGCGTGTTGCTTGTGACACTTTGGATACATGGATTGAAGCAACAGCAATGGTGAGTATAGCGTATTGTCATAAAATATATATTGAAATATATTGCATTGTTACAGTTTTTGTGTTAAGGATATTTATCCAGAAGTTTTTTTTTTCCTCCCATAAGAATGAGTATGGTCATCTCAAGATGCTTGTTCAGTTAATAGAAATAATTTATAATTATGGGAAAAGTGTCCGTGAACTCCTGGACAATCTTGACTCGCGTACTAGCTAGTTGGTGAAATAGTCAGTATGGCATTAACAGAAGCCTTGAGTTCTGTAGTTGAGTATTGTAAAATTTTGATTTTATTTAATTACTTTAGGGACAGTTATTACAATTTATACATCCACACTAAAATCAGTTAACAATCGCAAGCAAATTACAAAACAAAACCACTCAAATTACTCAACAGACCTTTTTGTGTAAAATATGCTCCAAAAAACACAATTTGCATTGATATGAATAATGCTGAACAATATTGACTTGTGTTACAAAACTTGAATGGCAGAACTGTAATGTTTCAATGTGATTCAAACTTGGAATGCATTAGTTACTCAAAAATAATTGTTGGACATTATACATAAATTTGCTAACTTACACCCAATTATACATCACTATCATGAACAAAGAATTAAACAAACTCGAACAAACAATTGCACTCCTACTTAAATATTTTTATTCGTGCTTGGTTATAACATTACTTGCATTGGTCACATCACTGGAACTGCGGTTTATTATTTAAATATTCAGTACTTACCTTCACTAAATTACTTTTTACCTTTGGTAATTTAATTTTAATCAGTGCTTTATTTAAAGAAATTAAAATGAGCTATGATTTAAAACTAAAATTGAATGCATACTTTACGTAAGTTGAATGCCACCTATTTTTGACAGAATGTAATTACATTATTTTAAGACTGTGACAATGATGTATAATTGTATTGGTTATAAATTTTATATTAATAAAAATAAGTTTTTAAATAATATTATTTTGATTAGAATGATAATGCCCTTGCAATTTTCAAAAATGTTGTCTACTCTTTGCGAGGATATGAAACTAAAAGAAGTGACCTTTTGATTGTAGGGTCGCACCAACTTGCCTCCTGAGAAAGTGCCTTGGGATGCTTTGGTGATGCTTCTGTCTCAGTGCATCTACGGTGGAAAGATTGACAATGACTTTGACCAGAGGTTGCTGGGCTCTTTCTTGGCAAAGCTGTTTACTCCACGGAGCTTTGAAGCAGACTTTGCACTCGTTGCAAATGTGGATGGAGTAGGAGGAGGACCAGGTAGTTATTGAACATTCAGCTTCTACCTGAAGATACTTTGTTTTGTGCCTTTTGTCATATCCATAAGAAACCTGTGTGTGCGTGTGTGTGGAGGGTGTGGGGGGACGTTTGTGAGTGTGTGTTTTTGTTTGTGTGTGTGTGTGTGTGTGTTTTTAATAAAAAAATTAAATTAGGTAATTTTTGTTTGTTTGTGTGTGTGTGTGTTTTTAATAAAGAAATTATATTAGGTAATTTTTGTCTGAATGCACGCATTGTTGCTGGTCGTTTGGTTGGGATTTCTTGTTGGTAGGGTTAAAAATTAGCTAAAAATTGTAATGGGCCTATCAGTTTCCCAATAAAAAATAATTTTGTCAGATAAAAAAAAACTTTTCGTTACAAATTTTGTAATAAAAAATTCTCAATGTTCTGAATTCTTTGAATAACAAAAGATAAAATTTTGTAGACAAAAAGTGCAAGTATCTAGGAGTATTTTGGTTTTTTGAAAATTGGAAAAATAATGTATTTTTATGATTGAGTGTCACAATAGATTTTTACCCACTTATGCCCTCTGATGTTGTGATGCTTGTATGCTGGCGTATGTGATGCTGGATCTACTCTGGCAGCATGAGTGTTATCTGTTTGACAAATAATCCATTGATGTTTCACTTCATAGGTGGACAGAGGCATATCACCATGCCTGATGGCACCCGCAGGGATCATTTCTTGTGTTGGATCGAATCACTTTCTGACAGACAGACACCATCGTGGCTGGGCCTGCCAAACAATGCTGAGAAAGTGCTTTTAACCACACGAGGTGAGTTTGATTGAAATGTAATGACTAAAATGTAAACACTAGTCATATTAATGAGTGGAAGTTGAAAATCAACCCCTGAAGGAATACATTAAATGGATAAAGAATTCACGTAATGAAATAAAACATCTATTAAGAAAATACCATTTGAGCCATCAATAATGTAAGCATGATATTACTTGGTAGTTTTGTGGAATGAAGCTTAGTTTGCTAAACGGTGTGTGATAATATCAGGGGAGGGGTGATGTATTTTCACAGATTGATAGGATTATTTTAATGATACTTTTCTGTTACATTTGCTTGCAGCTGTTACAATTGTTTCCCACTGTCAAAAAAATGTATTTTAGTCTCTCGTGGGAACACACCGAACAATGGTGAATGAAACTCTTGCAAATTATGTAATCTTTCTTTAATATGCCAGGCATATCATCTTACGATGCGTTGCCATTCGGAGAGCCAGGATTGTTCATATGACTCGCTGCAGAAGCCTTTGTTATTACAATCGTTTGAAATTTTTTGTGTTTGATACTAAACTTTTTCTTAGATATAGTAAATTAAAGTTTGCTTTTCTGTATCACATCAACATTTTTTAAGTTTAAGCAATCCATTTTGAATCTCTCAGATTAACTTCGATATTATATCAAAAATCTTCATCCCACAAACAAGAATAAACACAAATTTATAGTGGATTGTGGATTGACTTGTCATTCAAAAGTTTGCCTTCTTCGGTATGTTTTGTTTTTTCTTAGTATTACGGGATATTTCTTTTCCCCAAACCGCTGAGTTTAACTTTCTAATGGCTTGTCTTATTCTGGGTAATCTCCTTCTTTGCATTATATACATTCTTATCAATTAAAATAGTAATACCCTATCTTATTCTCGGGAATTGAATTTAATGTGATATGCTTTGAAACAATTTGACAGGCTGGTGTCAGTGTAACGCTGACAACAAGGTACTGCACTCTCCTTGAAGTTTGTTCTGACCCGAAAATAAAATTTTCTCTTGTTGTGGTACCTAGTGGATTATATGCCAAGTATTAAAGCCTGTGCCTCGTATGCTGACTTCAAGTAAAAGAATCAAAGAAAATAAAGCACAAAAATAATACCAAACTGACACCCAGAAGCTCAAGTTGTGCATCATGTTTGAGCAACTGAATTCTTATGCCAAACAGCACGTTCTTTGGGGTAAATTCTATGTTGAAAACTGTTCCGAGCAACGACCTGTATGTTCTATTACAAACCCTACTTCTCTGCATGCTTATTCAGTTAAGCGAGTTGTATTATGGCTACAACATTTTATTTTCTCGCCCTTAAGCAAGTTCTTAGTAAGAACAGAAAATTATGTAATTGTGTGTTGGAAAACTGCGAAAAACTCTTATTTGTTGAACATGGATAAATTCTCTTGCTAAATATAAAAACAAATTTCTTTAACACGTGACGTAGCTAGAATCCATGTTTTCTTGGCCCTTGATATCAAAAAATAGATTGATGGCAAAATGCCCATCCATCTGTGTATGGCCAACACTAGCACATAAAACATACAGCTGATTTCTCCACAATTGATATTCCCTGATTGATATGAACAAACTCAAGATTTTAGGAGTGTCAAATGTGAATTTTGAGGCTATTTTACATGAGGTCCAAAAATGGCACCAAATTTTTAGATTAATCTACGTCTTCTGATAGTGTAAAGAACGATTAAGAATTGTGCACATAAAATATTGAATTATATTTTTTGTTAATGAAATCTGTTCTTTCAAGTAAGTTCATGTTAAAATTTTTTAGTAGTTTTCATGTAATTTTGCATGAAGTATTGCCAATTTAATAAATTTTAACAATTTTTTTCAAAGAAGTGCTATAAATTTTCTTCTTTTTTGTAAGGCAGGGTTGAAAAAATATGGTGCTAGTCCCATTTTCAGCAACCTCTGTTTTTTCGAAAATTACAAAAAGTTAATATTTCAAAACTACAAAATTTAAGATAAAGGTTTTTGCCTCGGACAAAGTTTGTTGAAAAAAAATCAGCTTTTTTTAAAAAGGTCATGAACAAATTTTTGAAAAATCTAGTAGTTTTCATGTAATTTGTGATTAAAATTTTTTCGAATTTCTATTATTATTTTATCAAAATCTGCTAAAGTCTTTACATGGGTGGAAGATGAGATGCTTCAAAGAATAAAAAGAATGGCTCGTGTCTCATTTCTGTTGATCTCTGCATTTTTTTAAATTGCTAATTGAGAAGAAATGTGAAAAAATATGTGATGTTTTCGTACCTCTAGTTCAATTTTTTAATCAAACATCTGTATTGCTTTTTGGAATACAAAGTTATATATAGGTGAAATTGCCTTTATAAGTGATGGAACTGAGTTCATATTTCAAAATAGTAATGTATAAATGCCATCAACTATTGTCTCTTCATTCCATTCCAATTCATTTCACTACCCTACCTCACAATAAGGAAGCAGTAGAATCATTGTTATATTACTAGCCTGCAGTAGCACAAATGTTGCTAAACAAACCCCACTATTGTTTTAAAAAAAAATAGCTCGTACAAATTAGCCACACACAAATAAAATACTCTCCTATAACACTACAATAATATAATTAATATAATTTAAATAACACTACAATAATATAATTAATATAATGTAAATAACACTACAATAATTATATATTTTTAATAAATGGTCTTTACGATTACCGCAATAATGTAGTATATGAAGTAGGACCCGGGGAAAAATTATTTGTTGTTTCATTACGCAGCATGTGAATAGTTAATATTTATTGGTGGGCATCAGCATCTTTTGCTTCAAGCCTTGCTGTTGCACGATGTCAACTCTTATAAGCGGTAACTCCAGGAATATGAGAATTTTGTTGCTTCATCCAGTATGATAATAGGTGGAATAACACAATCAGATATTTTTATTTTTGGTCAAAATCAAAACTATTTTGTTATTTTTGGATTTTTCCCATTACAGGGTATCTAATGACACTATAGACACATGGAGACTGAATAGAGTTCTTTCAATGTCTGTGCTCATTAGAAATTAGTATTCCATAATGCAATGTAATGAAATATGATACAATATGATCAGTATAAAAAAATATGACAAGATGTGCATAATAAATACAGTACAAAATACCATATTACCACAAAACAAAGTACTTTAATTACATTGTCAATACAAAAAACATTGTGATGCTGTTGATTTTTCATCAACCTAGACTTCTCCTCCTGATAGTTGTTGGCCCAGTTGCACCTTATTTCTTACGCAACATTCTGCTTGCACTGCAGGAACAGACCTTGTGAGCAAACTGTTGAAAATGCAAGAACTGGAGGATGACGACGAACTGGCTTACTCACCAGAGGAAGGCCTGGACCAAGCCAGTGAGAAGCAGGTGGACGGACGCCCATCCTGGATGCGCACCCTTCACAATTCTGCCTCCACATGGCTGAATCTGTTGCCCCGTTCTCTCCAGGTAAGATTAGTTCATTTATTTTGATTAACTGACTCATGTTCAAGTTGAAAAATAATTTACAAACTGTAGAAATACATCAATATTAGTGTAAAATTTTGTGCTTGACCAAAATAAATATATTTGTTATCAAATATGTTTTTTTGTTTTTGATTATGTAGGGTTAGGTAGGGAATTTGTGATTATGAACCTGTAGGGTGGCCACTTTCTTAAAAAAAAACTGGAAAAGTTGGTGAATTTTATTGTTCCAAAAACCTATGGAAAAATGGGGGATGAAAACACCTTTTTGTATGGGAGCCAGTTAATTTATGAATGGATATTTTTCTTATGATTCTGAACTGGGCTTTATGCAATTGTCTGAATTGTGTCAAGCTTTGAATTAAATGTAATTGTATTGAAATTTCTTATGCACTTTAATTGAAAGATGCTTCACTTTGGTTTCCAAGTTCATGGAAAAAATTTGATTTGTTAGTTAACGGGTGGAATGAATCTCTATAGAGCTTTCAGGTGAAGTAATGAATTTCATATATTGCTAATTGTTTACTGTTGTAAGCTTTGATGAAAGTATGTATATTTACTAGACTTTTAATTGTAATTATTAGAGACCAAATGTTAGTCAAGATATTACTTAGTTGAAGGTTCCTTAAAAATGACTTACCACAAGTGCATATCAAAATATGTACAGCAAGTATCAAGTTAGTGTTGTGTACAGCAAGGGTATTTTTTTTTTGTTTTCTTAAGTAATGTGTATGTACTTAAAATGTTACATGAAATCCAACAATGGTTGCACTGGTGTCTGTTACATTAGTACTTGTGATATAAAAGATTTTCAATTTTTTATTTATTACTGATTAAATATACTCCTTATTTCCTGAAACATTTATAATCATGGTATTAAATGAAGATAATTTAGCACAGGAGTAACTGAATATTCTAATTTCACTGAAAATGGTTGAGGAAAATATAGAAGCAACAAACTAAATCTGTGTTTTTTCTGAAGGTATGATGAAAACACACACAAGCTTAAATGACACAGTGAAAGTGTCTTCAGTAAGATTAACAAGAAATGATTCAAACACCCTATTGGCATCCTGAGTAGTAGGCTTGTACTTCCACTTAATGACAGCACTAATTTTGAAATTGATACAAACAAATTTTAATGCCTATTTTAAAGTGCATTTTTAATACTTTTAGTGCCTTTTTGCTTACCTATTTTGGAAGTTTATATCCTACCATCCAGCCTTTATTTGTTATCAATGTTTCAGACTTTACGTCGAACTGTGGAGAATATCAAAGATCCTTTGTATCGTTATTTTGAACGTGAAGTTAACTCTGGAGCTCGTCTGCTACAAGACGTCATACATGATCTAGAAGATGTAGTGCTCATCTGTCAGGTAAGAAATACTAATTTTGCCATTATATTAGTTAATGATCAATTAGAGAACTTTAATTAATCAATTAATTAATTTACATATTATTATTAGTAGTAGTAGTAGTATTAGTATTAGTATTAGTATTATTAGTGATAAATATTGTTTAGGCAACATGTGCAAGGAACAAATTAAAATGACCGGAAACAAGACACTGTCACTGCTTCTAAAGAAAAAAAATATTCTGACAGGATCTTGTTTCTTTTAATTTTAAATTCGTTCCTTAATACTTAAAAACTAGTAAAATTTTCAAAATTGACCGTTGGTTTTTAAATAACTAATAACTTGTAAGATTTGAAAATAAAATTTATTTTGAAACAAAATTGATGTTTGTCCAAAAATAAAATGAAGAAATCATTAATTTATTGTGTATGTTATTATGTTTAACAATGACAATTACTCTAATTTGTTTGTTAAAATCAGGGAGAGAAGAAACAAACCAATTACCATCGCACCATGTTGAGTGATTTAGTTAAAGGTATTCTGCCAGCTAACTGGCGCCGGTATACTGTACCACGTGGTTGTACCGTTATTCAGTGGATCACAGATTTCAGCCAACGTGTGCGACAACTTCAAGAAGTATCACAGTTGGTGTCGCAAGGAGGTGCTAAGGAAATTAAGGTGTGTCCATCCAAGAACTACTTATGCTTTACATTCACCAGTGTTTATATCCTTATGTATAGCAACACACACAACGGTGTTAATCTCCTGAAGTGAAATAAAAAGTTCAGATTTCCAGAATAAATTAATTGTATTTGCATAAAAATCTGTGGTAAATCAAAAATTCATAACACTGTTCTGAGAATTCACTTGTTTGTGCAGAGTTTCCATGTTTGGCTTGGAGGCCTCCTCAATCCTGAGGCATATATCACGGCCACCCGTCAGTGCATTGCACAAGCCAATAGCTGGTCGCTGGAGGAGTTGATGCTGGAAGTGACCATCACAGATGCAGGCCGTGGGGCAGGAGGCAGTGGAGACGAGTGCAGTTTCGGAGTAATTGGTGAGCTTCGGTTTTGTTTAATGGGCTTTGGCAAGTTTGATAAGTGCGCTTGAACCCTTGTACATACCTGAATGTTAAGAAATTAAACATCATTAGCAAAGTAAATAAACAACCATTGAGTGATTGCAAGTCAAATGTATATTAAGAAAAAGCACGGCAATGTAAAAACAAATCAGATTCAAACACGAACTTCCTCACCGAACGTCATTTCTTTAGGTATCTTTAGGTTCAGAAGAATTATTTGCATCCAGCTTTTCTAAAACCACGGAATATTGTTTAAGTATTTATATCTTAAGCAACACCTCACAATATCATAATAATGTGTTGTAGCAACAGAAGTTATTTAATTACTATTGCAGTAATGTAAATTTTTCCACAAATTGTGAGATTTTATGGTGACTGATAAAATGCTGAACATACCATGGAATGTTAGTGTTATTACTGCCTCGGCACTGCTATGCTCTGCCTCAATTTTTAACTTTTGGCCTCTGCAGTAATAACCCTCATAACATTTCTAGGTGTATTAATAGCAATAACTGTCAAACTAAAACATAACTGTAAAACAAAATTTCAAAAACTATAAAAAAAAATATAATGCAAAACGACAATATTGATAAGATTTTTTTTTTTTCCTTAATAAAAAATGTGTTTTAAAAAAATAGATCTGTAAATAAAGTGATGTGCATTTTTTTGAAAGTACGAGTAGTCTCGCATAATTCTGATATCTTTGAATTTGCAAATTCAAATTTTCAAGCATTCATTTTGCAGAAGTTTTTCACAAGACGATATGCAATTCAACCATGGCAACACTATAAAATGGCAGTTTTGAAATTCTCAGAATTACTTTTAATTTTTGGGCAGCTGATTGAAACAGTTTTGGATTGTTGAATTTGTGTTGATGTATTACATTTAAAACAATTACTTTTTACACCTAATATGCTACAATTAATGATGAGATCTACAAGTGATGGCTGAGATGTGTTAACATGGGCAGAAAGTATTATAATATTACAATACTGTTATGAATGTGGCACAGTACATGCTGTTGTTGCTCCACAAGTTTCAAAAAATGGCATACTCTCTGGCACTTGCATAGTAATTGAAATCTATCTGTATGTAAGCATTTTATGTATTTAAAATTTTTTTGTTTTTATTTCTGTATTTCCCTGTCCTAGCTATAAAATTAAAAATAAATTTTGAACTAATTGATAAAAGCATGTGTAATGGTTTACAGGATTGAAGCTTCAAGGGTCACAATGCCGCAACAACCAATTGCATCTGACATCAACTATCATGACAGATTTACCCCTCACTCTGCTGCGTTGGGTCAGGTAAGTCAAGCTTACAAAAGATGCATTTTATTCCCTTCTCCCCCCACCCCACAAATCTCAGGATGTTGGCAGAAAAAATGGAAGAAAATCATGAGAGCAAAAGAAAAAGAAAAGAGAAATGTCAGTCTTGTAATCTCTGGGGGAGTGAATTTGCTTAGGCTCTAACCTAGATTACTTTCAAAACTTGGGGGGGGTCTGAATTTCATCCCCCATTTCCTCTTGGTTTGTTATTGACTAGTATCTCACCACGAAGCTAATGCCATATGATGGGAAAGCTATACTCTGTGCATTATGATGCACATATTGATATTGAAATGTGTCAATTTCAAATGTAAGGGAAATTGTAAAAATCCAAGCTTCAAAATCAGACCAGATTGTGCCATTTGATTCACCATGTTGTAAGGGCTTGACTTGCTGTTCTCATATAACATCTTTGTGCCTGAAGAGTTGGAAACACTTGTTTGACACAGGACTGGTCCTGGAGCTGAAGCTGCTGCTAGGAGCAAATTGTCTCTGCCTGTCTACTTGAACTCTACCCGCACTGAGCTTCTATTTACTGTTGACCTCAACATTGCGCCCGGGCAGGATCAACACAGCTTCTATGAACGAGGCGTTGCTGTACTCACCTCCACCGCACTGAACTGAGCTGCTCTCTGTGTGCTTGTCTAAAAGTTTGAGCTTTCTGCACATTTGTGTTGTTCTTTTAAGTGTCTTGTTGCACATATAATTCGGTTAATTTTATACTAGCAGTTTCAATAATTGCCTGTTAACAATTGTATGAATTATAAAAAAACAATCTTCTGTAGGATTTTATATGCTTAAGAAGAGGAATTGGAAGGAATGTACAGCCTTTTTTGAATTGTAAGTAAATTACTGTTGATGTATGCCACGATTTCTAAAGATTGTCAGTATTAGTCATTGTGAAATTTATTTCTAGGGACTGGGGTTAATGTTTCTTTCAGTTTCCCATAAGCATTAAATGTCTTAAGCAAAAGGATAAACTAATTAATGTATGATAAATGAATAATTGCGGTAGCTATTTGTTGTGTATTTTTATCTTATATATTGCACGTTATTTATGTTGTTTAATGGAAATAAAAGTTGCCTTTTGAACTTTGAACAGTGTAAATTCTTTATTTCCTTCATTTCCTTTCATTCTGGGACCTATACTTGCTTCTCATATTACTTATAATTTTTTAATGTGTTGATCTTGTTGGTGCACTTTCAAAGAGTTTAGTATAGGTTCATTCTGCATCATTGAAGTGTTTACAACTAAATTGTTACATTTGCTGTTGACTGCATTGTTCAGAGAAATAATTGGATGAAAATTTTAATATATGTTTAATGTGATTCAATGGGCTTTTTATAGTTCATTGACGAAAACCAGCTATGCAGTTAGGTTATTCATAGTTTTGTAGTTGCAATGTTGATTTACATTTTTCTCAAATAAAAAGATGTGGGAAAATTAAGATAATCAGTTTACGTTTTGTAACAAATTTCTATACGTTTTAAGTTTATGTAGAGTCCCAACATAAATTATGGGAATTTTCTTCGTGCATGTAAGAGACCTGCTTATAGAATAAAAGTTTTCTGCCATTAATAGACAAAATTAGTTTCAGAATTTTTTCTTTCTCAGTTTTTTTCTCTAGCAATTTAAAAATTTTTCAGTTTTTGATGAGAAACCTAATAATATTAAATCCTTAATTAAAATTTTGAGTAGAGATATTAAAAAGCTTATAAGCATGCATTACAAATTGCTGATTCTTTAAATACACTAATTAACTCAGCTGCTAAACATTTCGAATCATTGCTGTGATATATTACCACTTATATGTTATACATTTTTGTATTGTGTTAAAAGCCTATAAACAGATATATCTTGCTGGCTTTGGACATTAATAAATAAAATTAATTGATTAATGTTATTCTCTCATTAATAATGTTGACATTTTGTGGAGAAAGATTTAAAAAGTAAAAATCTTTAATAGAAAATTTTTAAAAACTATTGTTTTGGACTTACCACATTACACAGTAATTGCTATTGCCTTATGAAGAACAACTAAGACATTTAAACATGATCACTTTGAAGGACAGAAAATATAGGAGTGACTTAATAGAAACTTCTAAAATTTTACAGAAATATCTGAGTATAATTACTATAAAAATCTATAAAGTTGCAAAATCCCTTAGAGAGCATCCTTTGAAGCTACATAAAGAAACCAAAAATATGTCAGAGAGCGTAACTAGTGCTTGGGGGTTGTAACAGACTGCAGAAACCATGCGTTCCTCATTCCTACAGTATATAAAAGCAATCTTCAAAGTCTCAAGAGGAACAAACCATCTAAGCATTAAATTTGAGTTGTTTTATATATAAGTTTGGATTCTGTTAATATGTATTGTATTCATTGTGTATGTTCTATTTTATTTAAGACTAGTGGACCTGGCATTGCTTTGCTATTGCAATGCGTTACGCTTCACATGCTACTGGTCAAGTGATTGTTAATCATGATTTACGCTACGCACTGCAAAATGTTTAATAGATGAAAGACTTTCTCACAAGTATAGTATTGTTCTATGTCCTGGTTTGGCCATAAGAATTCAGGACAGACCATTTTTACAGACTAATCTAATTTAAGTTTTTTAAGTTAAATTATTATTAGGCTAAAGGGGGAAAATAATTTATTCAGGAATTAAACAATCTTGCAGAAGGTAATGTGAGTGAACAAGATATCAAATTATTTCAATTACTGCAAGTGCAAATTCCTCATGAGACTGTAACACCATCTTAGTGATAAAAACGCAATTCAAATACTTGAATCTCTTAAGAAAAAATTGTCAGACATGTCTGTACAAAGAAACAACAATTGTTATAAAGTATATAGTCACAAGTAATATCTATGTTGAAGATAGACTAGTAAATGGACCTTCTGCTGAAATATCTTTCTTTTAAATATATCACTAATGAATTAAATTAAATTTGGATTCATTCTGATAGCCCAATTGTGGGACATACTCAAACGTCTTACAATGATTAAAAGTTTATGCCAGTAGTGGGTGTTTCATAAAAGTTGAATGCGTTCAAATTATTTATACTGAATCCTCATGAAATAGTTAAGGAACAAAGTCCTCTTTCCTCTGATGATTTTCATACAGAGTATTCCACAGAAAGGTCAACCTTGAGATAATTTTAGAACAGTGTATGAGAGGTGCCTATTTTATGGCAAAGTTGTTAAAGAAGGGCAGTTTCTTGAGTTTCTAGATAAAGAAATGGTTAATTTCCTTTGATGTAGATGGTAGCACCATTTATTTATAAGCTGATTCGTATCCATGCAAAGGCAGTGTAATCTGTCCAAGTTTGATAGTATTTATCTGAATTTCTGAATGTTCCTAGTTTAACATAGTATAATAACTATACAAGTTAAGTGTTAATTAGATAATTAAAATTAATGTTTATTTCATTATTATACAAGTCAGAGTGTTAACAAATGATTTTACCTGTTCATAAAAAATAAGTTGTTGCATGTCCCTGTTCTTCATTGGTTGTTTTTAATAAGATCATTTTCAATTTCTTTTCTTTTTTAAATTTGTTGAATCTAGATGCAACGCGTTTCCAAGCCTTTTGGGGGGCGTTGAGCGCTTTACACTTGGAGTAATCCTCCATTAAAAGTTTGACATATGTCACGTCTCGTCGCAGTCGGTTTTCAAGAGGACCGCCAGGTAGTATCTTCGCGTACGCCATTCGCCTCCTGCCACGCGCTCCTGAGTCAATAGCAAGCTGCCTGAATTGGGATGGAATTAGGATAGGAGGTGGGGTTTAGGATCCTTCACAAGGGTTAGACTGGCCCTTGTGAAGCAGCCTAGAACACATTTACATGAGATTGTCCTGCCCTCCGAGCTACGAGATGACCAATAGTTCCGAAAATTCTATCCCAAAATGTACAATTAATAATAATAATAATAATAATAATAATAATAATAATAATAATAATAATAATAATAATATTTATTGACTCACATATACAATAACAATCATGTATGACGAGTCAATTACATCTGATTCTTCCCCGGACTTGCTTTCCACTCCCATATTTGTTTCCCTAATTTTTGAAAAAATCAAACTTCACAATCACAGCCTTATTTGTATTAACTTTTACTTCTGCAATTTCTCTATTAATCATTTCGTGGGCGAATATATATCAACATTAAAAATACGACTTTTTTTGTAAGTCTATGTGAATAAGATGTTAAGTTAATTAAGAATAAGTTGTTAATCGCGTTTATTAAACTGAGAAGTCGAGCGTAATTTAACTGAGAAACGAAATTTATTATAACAGAGAAATCGAACGTAATAAGTTAAATGTGCTTTCATTTTGTAACTTTACTCACAGCGTGGTTTTCTCCACATTTCTTCAAATGTAATAAGTTTGACACCCCAAACGACGTATTAGGCAATTGTCTTGGAATCTTCTGAGATGAATCTGATCTGAGAGCAAATGGCGCCTCGTGCCTGGGTCGGTGCGTGGGAAGTGATTTTCTCAAAATACAGGAGAAAGTGAATCTTTTATAATATAAATTTGAAGATCTGCGAAATGAAAGGGGGCAAGCGCCTATCACTTCCATCGTGCCACAAAAACATCAACTGCGATGAATTAAAAGCCGAACTAACAGCTAAAAACATTACGGTCGGTGAACTCCGAAGAAATAAGCCCCCAAATTTTTCTGTCCCTCGGTATCTATCAAATAGAGGTCAACTATAATCAATTGACAGAAATAAAACAAATAAAATATCTACTACGACGCAGAGTGTACCTGGGAGAACGCGAGCGAATTCCTCAATGCACCTCGTGCCTACTGTGGGGGAACTACAAGGCCCGCTCCGCCAGGCGCCAACACTCCTTGCACCACGCAATTAATTACACTAATCAAAGGCGTTCAAACTGCAACCACGGTACTAAAAGGACCAGGCGACATTCGCAGCAAACTCTTAAACGCTGTTCAGGCCGTCGCGTCTCTATTCTAAATGCACCCCTCCCCCCACACCCTTCCGCATGAACGCGCCGATTCTACCAACGAGGCCACCGCCACGGGACCTCTTACATTCATCTCCGCCGACCGAAACCCTTGCCGGAAATTTGACATTAACGACATTACCGCGCTCGTCTCATTAGGCGAAACAATTCTGCTCGAAGGGGACCTCAACGCGAAGCGCGTTGAATGGGGCTGCAGGCGACCTCCTCAACCATTCAACCACCCTCCGCCAAGCCCCACCCATCTCTTAAACGACTCGCCGCCTCACATTCTTGCTATTATAATCCATTCGTCCACCCTCAACCCAACAGCTCCAAACCCCTCTCTGAACTCAAATCCGATCACCTCCCATCATCTCAGCCATCCACCTCGGCGCGTACCCCTTTTCCTTAGAACATAATTACATATTCACTAAAAAACGGGAAGGAATACAAAAACAGAATTGTTCATAAATGGCATCCTTTCGACCGCGCCCCTGCCTCTCCAAAAGAAGTAGATCAAGCAATACAGAAATTCAACTTCCAACCACGTTCGACCTACAACCGCTTCACGGAAAAAACAAGTATTCAACGAAAAGACTAGTACTTAGTAATTTTTTTAAGTGTTTACATGAAAATTAATGAAATCATTACTGAGATCATAACCAAATTCAATCTTTCTGGTTCACGGTTCAGTAAGAAAAACTCTTCCTGCCTTGAACTGTGTTGTGGATGTAATCATCGCAATTAAAATATTTAACCGTTTGCTTTGTTATTGACACAGGCTATGTATGTCAAACTATTTAATTGAAAACTATTGAGTTCTCTGGCATAATTTGTGATTTATAGATTACTTTTCTCGACGACAAAGGACGTTTTCTTATTGGATATTAAATTTTCTCTTCTTTGTTGTTCCTATATAATCAAAGTAACTAAATTATTATTGCAACTTTTATTTCAAGGATATATTTATTAAATCAAATATGTGTACAATTATATTGATTAGCCTTTTCTGGGTGACTTTATTTTTCCTCCTAAGGTAAATAATATAATGTTTTCTAGATTTAGTTGTAATAAAATTGTCACATCGTACTGTATATTTTAATCCTAGATCACTGCTGTGGCAGGATATCCTAAGTTTCATACATTAATTCTGAAATAAATTGTAAATCAACCAAAGCACGGTATTTACATTCAAAAATACTGCACAAGGAATTGATAGTGCCTAATTGGTCGAAAGTGTTTTACGTCATCCCTGATTCTTCGCCACGCGTTTGAGGGCAGCACTGTGGTAGGGTGTTAAGGTGCCAACATATGCACATAAAAATTGGCTAATTTGTGAGAAATAACAAAAGTATCTTTTAAATGTTAAATTATACATATTCATATATAAGAAACTCCTGAAGAAAGCGCGAACATTGGCGCTATATTTTGTAACATTAAGAGCCTGCTTGTGACCCGCGAACTCACGCAGCAGCCACGCACGTTTGAAGTATCATTGGCAGCAGTTCATGTTTTAGTTCCTGTGTTTCTTGTAAGAAGGTGCTGCAGCAGAGCCAGGGTAGGGAAACTTGGCGGTCAAAACGGGGTAATGATTTTTGCGCCATCTACAACAGTTACCGGCGACGCTGAGGCCGAACTAAACGTGTGACGTCATGCAATTCAAAAAGCTGGCAATGTAGGCGGTGTTTGTTTTTCGTTACGTGCAGACTGCAAGCAGGTAGGTGCTCATTTTTATCGAATTTTTTCAGCGTTTTGTTAGTATATGTAGAATGTTCGTGCATTGAAGTAAAGTGAATTATGTCGCCGATATTTATATTTGTCATGTCTAAAACTTTGTTTTCAGTATTTTTGGCAGATGATTTAAAGAAAAACTGGTGCTAGACAGTACATTGTAGGATTTTTCACCCTACCGAAAAAGCAGTGAGCGTATTTAATAATTCATTTTGGAATCTTGTTTGCATAATTGTAATTGATTATTTATTTGTGAACTTTACACCATGCAAATAGTCTTCAAAAAATCTACAATCACATATACGTATAACCTAACCTGTACATGGTCATTTATTCTGTCTATTGTTTTTTAGTAAAAGTATTGTAGTTATATTATTTCGAATTGGTATTGACACGTTTTGTAATATGTTCATTTATATCCATATATTCATTGTTTGGCAATATCGCGTATTCAAAATGGTCTAATTTTCCAAATATACATAATTCATTATTGTTTTGCCGATTTCTAGAATAGCGTACACTCTCATTAATGTATGATGAAAATGTAATTAAGTTTATTTGCTTAGGTGTACGAGTTACGTTTCCATTCTGGAGGTGATCTTCAGTTGCATTATGGTTAACTGGCAAGATACAAACGAATTTGCACTTCACTAACATTAGAGATGGAATTGTATCAACAGTGTTTTCCTACAAGCCCAGCCCTGTTTGTTCTTCTCAAAGAACATTCAAGAAATGCTTTATTACCATATTGTGCCAGTGAAATCTTTTTTTCCCTTGAGCTGCAAGTGCTTGCTAGTCTTCGATATGTATAGACAAATATATTATTTCAGCAATATATATTCGAATAATAATTGCCTTGTTTAAGAAAAACTTTCCTAACAAAAGCCACTGCGAAATATATTAAAATAAATAATCAAAAACAATTTGAATGTGAAACAATTAAAAAACTTTCGTTTGTCGAATGTTGTAATAAAAAAACTGTGTGTAATAAATAATATACCCTAAATATCTAACGTTTATTTTAAAAATATTAAGATGGGTTATAATACTTTTTTTGGATATTTCACATTTACTACAGTGCTAAGAAAGGTTAATATATTATAGATGATTTTTAATTAAATGTAAGCCAAATTTGAATTTGCTAAATGAAACATCTGAACAATAAATCCTGTAATAATATTATTGATAATTATTAGTAAAAATCTAATCCAATTTTCTCACTTATACTTTGTCAAAATTCTGTCATTCGTAACAATTCAGTATTGTTTCTGCCCCACTTGTGTAGGGTTTTTCAATGAGGATTAGTTGTTGGTGTTGGACTTTTTGTGGAAATAAGTTTGTCATGATGTGCAGTAACCAAAGTCGAGGTAGCCTATAGAGAAATAAAAATCTTGTACTTGCTGGCATAACAGAAGAAACTCTGTGTGCCAGTTTCATTTGTTTTAAAGTTAGATTGCCCTAAAATAGGAGAAATTGGCTCAAATTAAAAATTGGTTTAATCTTCCACAAATTGTTCATTTCATAGATTATTAATTTTTGTAAAACAATGCAAATTTCCTCTTTAATCTCCAGAACACTAAGCATTATTCACCGGTATGTTATTACTAACTACTACAAGACGAATCAACTTGCCAAACATTAAAACTAGTATTAATTTATAAATTTGTTTCATTTTCCTTGGTTTTGAAAGACTTACCCAAAATAACAATGATGATATTGCTATTCTAAAATTACAAATCTATTGTTCGCTATAAGAAGTCACCAAAAATTAAGGCTGGTATGATTTCAAATCATATATGATTTAACTAAATGCATAACTTTTTTAAAATCATTGATTTAAGTTATCTGTTCATATTACAAATATTAAGTTATAGAGATGAAACTGTAAATCAATTACACTAAGTTAACAACGGAATATCATATTTCTTTAAAACTTTTTCACATCAATTGAAGAATTCGAGAAAAACAAATACATGTAATATACATTAAAATGAGCAATGCTCTATGAATGAACAATAAACTTTTGTAGTATATTTAACTAATGGACTTGAGGATGAATATTAAGTTTTTATCTAGCATTTCATTGTCTGCTAGATAATACAAAATTTTTAGAACAATACACACAACGAGTTGTTTCAGGAAAAACACATAAATCTTCAAGCATTATTTGTAATTCTAGATTTGGAGTAAAAATGTTTGCTACATGCCACAAAGTATAACATCTTAGACGGAAGATAAGCATTAATAAAAATGGAATTTTATGTGATAGTCACTTAAGAAAAAAATTAATATCGTAAAAACTTAATAAAACGCGAATTAATCTTATTAATTTTTAATAATGTTAACCTTTTTCCTTGTGTTATCTATTCGTTAAAATAACCAATTTAAGTGTGGAAGGGAAAAGGACAACTATTAAATAGAATTTAATATTTCAAAACTGTCTAATTGTTTACTTGTGTACTGCTTAAAACTGTCTATATTGTTGTAACGTTTTTTTGTGAAATCAATTGTTTTTAACGTAAGGAGGATTTTTTTGGATAAAGAATCTTCTTTCTGCACCCATGCTGACAGTGTTGCTAAGAGCTTATTCCATAACGTGAACACAGAAGAAGTGATGAAAACTATAAGTACTTCACATTGTAAAGATTTTGTGGGTTAAGGGCAGTATTGCACCAGGACCCCTCAACAATGTATAGTTACTATGTGAAAAAAACAATAAGGGAAATGAACAATTTATAAAACTTCATGTTTTTCACTTTTTCTGCTTTTAAAAGTTATTAAGGATAAGTAAATCACTTTACAATTTTATGCGTTCTTAAGTATAAACATCTAATAAAATATTTAAAATATTATTTAAATCAAGTTAAATCTGAAATCATAAGAAAAGCAGATAATACTTCTTCAATAATCTACTACACGCGCCAACAATTTAATTCGCACAACCTTACTTTTGAAAATGCGCGCCCAAAACGCAACAGCCTGCGCTATCGCACCAGGTCCGGTTGATGAGGGAAAACAAAACTTAGTCCCCCGCCTTTTAACATTGAGTGAACCGGCCCTGAGCAGAGCGCGCTACCACAATGGTTTCCACCACGTTATTTGGGAGTTAAAATCAGTTATAATGCCCTGGCCCTGGACACAGTTATCACTTTAACATCATTTTACGTTGCGTTTGTTCTGTGGTGGTTTGTGAATAGACGTTGATTGTTATTGACAATGGACAATATTGAATTGTTGGCAGAAAGCATTATTGAATTAGAAGATGTAAGTTACATTTTTTGACATCTTTAAATGGTGTCTCGAAGGAGTGAAATTGAAAGAATATTTAATCGTTTTACAAATTTAGTTTTAATGGTATCAATTAATATTATAATTATTGTAAGTAGTACACAAATGAGTATACATCTATAGTATCTAAAACCAGCAGTAATAAACTCTATGCTAAATAACTCAGAGAAACTGAGTTTGAGATTAAAAGACCTCACCAGGGAAATGAAATAGTTTGAAGATTTGAAATTGCTGTCTTGTAAGGAAGTGCTTTGTTTTATGTGATAACACTGTTCTGTATTGTGTTTTCTCTTGTTAGATAAAGCAAGAACAAGAGGAATCTGTTACAATGACTGTTTGGAATTCCACGGTGAGATTTTTCTCTTCTTTACAAAGTTTATTTTATTCCATAAACATTAACTGGGTGAGATGTTTGAAAGGAAAACAGCTACCTGTATTGTTCAGCAGCAAAGCTTGGACCACCATTTGCTCAGTAGAAATACAAGGGAACCTGAATGAAAAACCAGTCTGAGGAGTCACAAAAGCTGATTACAATACATTTTACAGGCAAATTCCCTTTTAAAATTAAACAATTTAATGCAATATAGGATTATTATAAAATAAATATAATTTTTGTTTTCGATACTCAATTCAGTCTGTAATTGGATAAATCTGTTTTTTAAATATTTTACCCAACATTTGAACTTGTGTATAAGTTTGAATTGTTTGATCTTATGTGGGGATGGAACGTGGTGAGACAACACATCATGTGTGGGTATTATATGTGGCTTTTTGTAGTAGCATAGGACAAAAATAGTTGTTTGCCTTAAGTCAATCAGATAGTTATGAATAGGGGCAGATTTTAATGAAATGTCAATTAGAACAATGCTGTTTAATGTAGAATTAATTTTATGTTATTACAAAAGGAAATTACCCTTTTTTAGGTCTTTTTTTTTAACATTTTTCATTGATTTGAACTAATAAGTATGTTTGGCCGAGATCTAGTATACTGTGCAACTTAATGTTGTTTAACCCATATTTTTTAAAAACCTTTTCTTGTAATTTTTGGTGCATTTTTCACTGATTTAATCGATTTTAATATCATTTTAATGGTACTTGTTCAAATGATGTTTACAAGATGCAACAATGTTCTCCATAGAATTCCTGAGTAACATATTCGATTTCTTCTTATAGAAATTGTAGTGTTAGTTGTTGTGGTTATATAATGTAAGGTTTCTGTGACGCATATCAGCGCTATTACAAAGTCGGTTCAGGCGATTTCGGGATTACCAATGACAGAGAAAAGAACAGTCCAAGCCAAAAGTTTTCAATCTAAGTTCACTTGGAATGAATGGAAAAAGCCTCGATTACATCAATTACATACTCAGAAGCTTGAGTTGTTCGTCTGAACAAGTTTTGATAAAACATTTTAATGTCATTTTTCTTTGCATTTTTATTGGGCATTTTAAGAGAATTTTATTCATCATTTCTCTTGATGTTTTAGGTAATCAAAATCCACCCCCTAGTTATCAATAGATAGGTATTTATTTCATTAAAACAAGTGATTGTGTTTTATATTAAACTATTAAACCCTAATGTTGGCTAGTTTGGGGATGTAAGTATTGCTTTGTGGTTAATGGGGGTAGCAAAATTTCATTATTTGTAAATATTTTACAAGCACAGTACATACAAATTCTTAAAAACAAAATTATAAATGGGTCTTGTCCTGTGTTATAAATACTAGTCAATATTTGTCCAGTGTCTGTGTATAGTGTTATAAAGACATTGTTTCTGCTTTTTTTTATAACAGCGTGAAAAATGTTAAGATTTATGCTAAATTAGTAGATATTTTAACACACTGGATAATGCGCTCATCGCCTTTTTGTTGCTATTAGAGGTTAGTTGCAGCAATCGTAAAGCTCTCTTTATTGTCATGTCCAGGAACTCAAGACCAACACTTTAAAGAGTGAAGTTAAAGAAGATGATGATGATGATGATGATGAGGTATGTTCTTTCTCAAGTGATAACTCACTGATCTTGTTGTAATTTCTTGAGCGGTTGGTTGGGACAAAATCATATTTTTTAAAGATATTCAGTTGAACCTCAAAATGAATGAAAGACATTGAAGAATTGGGAAATTGAAGTTGAACATTAAATATCTTCAACTTTGAAGAAGGTTTAATTTACAATAAATCCTTTTTTTCACAAAACCAGCAATACCTGCCATTTTAAACACTTATAAGATTAATTTGACATCAGGATTAATGCAAACAAATATTGTAATTAAATAATGATTGTAAATGTTCTTGAATTGATAAAATAACACCCTTCTTAATTCGTAAATTGATAAAAATAAACTAATTAGCCCATTTTTTTCTCTTTTTGTTCTTTTTAAGGAAGACTATTGAAGTCATTGGAATTTAAATATGTTTTTATGCCAGTTCGTTGCTAAGATTTAAAAAAAGTTACGTTTTCTGTATGTCTGTAGGATGATTAGCATATTTAATTAAACTTAAGGCCAGTTGCACCTAGAACGAGTAAAATTATTATAAGATAGTGATTCTCAAATAGCAGGTAAGTGTTTCACCCTGCTTCCGGAGGGTTATTTCACTCTCAAGTCCATACTTCATGTGAACCTCTGGCTATTTCCTTATTCTCTTTCCAACATCCACTTCAGTTACTTGTGGAAGTTTTTGGTGGCTTTTCTTGGTGTTTTAGTCTTGTGTGGTGTTGTGGTGGTTTGAGTTAATCTCTCTTATTTATTATTTCTTAGTTTTTTATCTTCATTTTTTGTGTTTGCTTCTAGTTCTTGTAGTTATGTTCATATTTTTTCATATACTTACTTTAATCAGTTTTCATTCTATTAACATACTATTAAAAGAAAGTTTCACCCAACAAAAGTTCACAGTGTAATTTTAATTAGTTATTTCCTCTTTTTTGATTGTATTGTTTAGTTATGTTAGTTTACTAGTCTATTAGTTCTAGTGGTACTAGTATTCTATAAATATCAAAAGATGTTGAAAGAATTTTCTCAAAGCACCAAAGAAATGTTAACTTTAATTAATTTGCAAATTTAATCTAATGAACAAATTAACAATTTTTGCAACAAATAAATTTCTTTAGTGCCGTTGTGGAGAAATGTTTACCACTCGTGCAGAATAGGAACACTTGACAGTGCCATTATGCAGTACCCATACATTGATGGCGTACAGAAGGGCTGATAATTTAAGAGCAGAGAGGGACACAATGAAAAAGAGGGCAAAAAAATAATTATCTATTATAAGAACAATAGCAAATAAAACGGGTAAAAACAGATATTTTTTAATTAAATTAACATTGTTAATAATCTTTTTTAAAAAAAGGAGGGATAAAAAGTCTTAAAGCACGGTACATTGTACACCCTCTGAGAAGCATGATGACAGGGTCTCCTTAAGCCCTCCCTCGAATTACACTACACGCTTTGATAGAAATAAATAAAACTTATGGATAGGCGATTTTCATGTCTCGCCCATCATACATGTTGTTCCCATCGCATCGTAATGCCAATTTACTTTCAAAGACAAGTTTCCTTGCTTCGCTTGCCTGGATCCAAGTCATGACGAGGCTTGGGTATTTGGCCCTTGTATTCACTATAACATCCTTAAGCCTATCCACTGCATAGTTACCAATTCATTTTTATAAGAAAGCACTTTTCAAGAAAGCCTCCAAAATTCAAATTGTGCAGTTATCGCCGGGGTGGTGTGAAGTGCCGGATTAAACTACTTCCGTAAGGTGTACCTTATACTAGACTTCAGCAAAAAAAAAAAAGAGAAAAAAAGTTTTTTGTATGTGAATAGGGCGAACTTCAAAAATTGAAGCAAACAAACTGCTAATGAAGGGGATATGAGAAGCAGAAAGATATACACATTTATTGGAAATGGAGATATATTGAGAGAGAAACTCGGAAAAGAGAACATAAAAAGAAGATCGCTACTTTGTGAGATGAAATGTTAAAAACTAAAAATAAATTCATTAAAGTTATTGTAGGTGTTATTATTTTTCATATGATAGTGTCAAAATTAAAAAATAACAAGTATTGCTACTACCATTGGAAAATAATGCAACATACCGAATGTTTGTAATTTTGAAACCTGCAGAATTAAAGAATAAAGTACATACAATCTCGTGTGCGAATTTCAGCGCTGTAGCTTGAATAGTTAAGCAGATAGAGCCATTTGAAAATAACTATTATTTTCAGAGCTTGCAAGATGCGAAAATACAAGGCTTTCAATTTATGATTCCTAGAGGTCCCGTTTCTCATCCGTATATGACAAAGGACGACATTTTCTAAAACTACAGAAATTTAGAAACACATCCGTGTCTCTAGAATTGATTTATGTTACATAGTTTGAGAAATATGCTGATTTAATTTGTGTGTTAAATGTGTAAAGTTTCGTCGATCGACGAAATTTTCCGATTTTCGACATGTCACGGATTTTTCTGAAATCCACGGACCTATAACGAAATTTTATGGAAAATTCACTGGTAATACCCATTTTTCGATTAGAAGCTTAGTTTTTTTTAGAAAAACGCAATAGTATTGCTATAAACTTCAATTTCTTCCAAATTCCAGTGTAGAAAACTTCCATTTTGAAGCAGGTTCTAATTAAATGAGATCGTCACGGATTTTTCTGAAATCCACGGACCTATAACGAAATTTTCAGATTTTCGACATGTCACGGATCTTCCTGAAATCCAGGGACCTATAACGAAATTTTATGCAAAATTCACTGGTAATGCCCATTTTTCGATCAGAAGCTTAGTTTTTTTTTTAGAAAAACGCAATAGTATTGCTATAAACTTCAATTTCTTCCAAATATCAGTGTAAAAAACTTCCATTTTAAGCAGGTTCTAATTAAATGAGAAACTCCATGTAAGAATCAAATTAAAGAGTAAAGTACGTACAATCTCGTGTGCGAATTTCAGCACTGTAGCTTAATAGTGTAGCAGATAGAGGTCATTACATTGAGGGTAGGGAGAACGAAGAACTTTTACTTCAATCCGGTGGCAAGCAAAGGACCTTCCCTCTATTTATAGATCCCTAGAAAAGCCGCAGGGTGGTTTGAAAATTTTTGTTTTAAGAGGTTGCTGAGGAGCGTGAAAATTACAACTCTTTTATTTGGTTGAACAGCTATTGGTCCTTGTATCAGCTGGGGCCAAGGGACAGGTGAAACCATGTCTGGGCCTTGAGATTGGTCTTGTTGTCCATGCTGGTGTAGTATGTCGTGGATTACTTCTGTATTCCAATTCTCCAAACAGATTTCTTAATAACTGGAAAAATGGTTTTTAATTTTTAATCTTCTGCATGAAGAGAAAACACAACAAATGAGGTGTTCTGCTACATTTCTAAAGTGAATTTGAGATTCATTATGTACATTTTTAGCTGGAGAACGAGGTTGTTAAATAGGAGCCCTCTTGTAAAGGGTTGATAACCTCCCCAACTAACACAACGCCATCCCTATGTGCCCCAATTTCAAACAGTGCGCACTGAGAACAATAATTTTTAAAAATTCTGCTGTCATGAGCAAACCTGGGGAATCAGGCTACATTATCTGTAAACTTGATGTTTGAGTGAAATATTGCTTGTACATTCAAAGAAAATTAATTCTACCTTTTTTTTTCTTCCCACACACATATAAATCAAAGTCATTGGCCTTGGAGAAATGGCGCAAAATAGCACAAGATGATGGGATATTTTTAGCAAAGATCATATGCCAGGAGAAAAAAAATGTTTAGGGAGTGCAGTCTATTGCACCAACAGTATTGGGAAAACTTGCTAATAAATAAAAATTTAATTGTTTTTTATTTATTTCATCCACTCCCTGAGAGAATGCATTGTAGTTCTCACTGGCAGTTCTAACTCTTTAGATAATGGTATGAATGGAGGGCTTACTAGTACCCATATAGTCTACAGTAGTCATGGCAGTTGGGAATTTACTGTTGCGTAAAATCTTACAATAGTCAGCAGGTGGATCATTGGCATTACAGATGCATTCCTAGAAGAGAAACAGCAACAGTAAATAAAGGAAAAGCAAATGTCTGCATGCAAATCAAAAAAGTATATTTGTGTCCTTTATTTTATGAGGTAATGTTTACATTATCTCATTTTCTACAGGGCATGTATTTCTAAACACATATGCATAATTATATTAATAATATTACACTGTATTTATAAAATATTATATTACATTTTAAATTAATAACATACATATTAAATAAATTTGATTTCATTTGAAGATTATCTGAACATTGCAAATAAAATTCAATTCTTCCAAGTAGGTGAAGTTCTGACGATTTGGTCAAATGGCATCTTGTGGCAAAATTCTAATTATCATAGAAAATCCGGAAGAGCAATATTATAAATCTTTGCTGGAGTCCTCTTCAAAAACCATCAATTGCAATTGTTGAGTTCTAACAACACCCCAGAGGTACACACGCATTGAAAACTGAGCTTACTCTGCACTTGACTCGATGAATTTTCACGGAGTAAAGTTACTCTGGAATAAAGTGTTGGTGAAGCACTCCAAGTAGTTACTCTTGAGTGTACATGATTTACTCCAGAGTAATTTCTTACTCTTTGTTGGTGAAACTAGGCCATAGATATGCAGCTTTACATTATTGATTTATTGAAATTAATTTTTACTAAATTTATGAAAAAGTAATTTCATGATAATTTGTCACTTTAGATATAACAAACAACTATGACACATATTTCTGATAATGCAATGTAACAAATGTATCATGATAGATTTAAAAATATTTGTGATAAGATTTACTGTTTAGTTGACATTTAAGAAAGTACAATAACAGAGAATTTAAAATGTATAATATTTTTATAATAACATAGAGGTCACACTTATAAATAACTCATTGGGTTCACGTATTGCTATCTTACGATGTCAATTTATTTAAAAAGATGTTACAACAATGTAATTAAACTTGAATGCAATGTTAATTAATGGAGAAACATTTGTTCCCATGTTCATGTGAAAAAACTAACACACAATGATACGAATTAAGCATGTCAATAAAATCTGATGCTCACTACCGCCATATGGCATCATAGTGAGCGCAAGGGAAGCCTTCAATGGCTATTTGATGGTGGCGAGAAAAGAACAGGAAAAGTTGCAGGTTATGAAGAGGGGAGGAAATGGTTTGCCTGGAGAACAGATTTAATTTTTGAAATTTGGAACTTGTGTGAAGCACTCTATTAGTTTGTTGCCAAATTTGTACTCATTGTATACTTCAGTAAACTCATTAGATGGTTTTAATATTTAGAATAAATAAATAAGTAAATAAATGCCATTATTGGTGGCGTGGCTCAGGCCATTTAGTGGCCTGCTCTTCCCCCTGACCACTAGGGTACAGGCAAGGAGCACTCCATTTGTCTGTTGCAAAATATTTCAAAAGTTCATCATTTAATATTGTGGTCTCACTGGGTTCTGTCTGTGTTTAAGCATGTTGTAGTTTTAATATGTAAAGTTTCTAATATTAAATGAGGGTAGTACTGACATTCCCAGGCACTTGACGTCCTTATAGTTAATTTGGTGCCCAATTGTTATTCTGTATACAGCTAGAACATTGTCAGTTCAGATGCTCCCTAATGTTCTGTTTCCTTTTGGTTTGACATATCGGTGATCTTGCACAATCAGAGAAATATCGTTATTTATCATTTGTTCATCATCATGCCTGGGAACATAAAGAAATATGGGTAATCAATTGTGTGTGAGATTACTTCAGGAAGCCTAATTCATAATTATCCTAATGAAACCTGGCAGTCGTCCTGCCTTGCATCTCCTTTCTTCTTCTTCTTCTTCTTCTTCTTCTTCTTCTTCTTCTTCTTCTTCTTCTTCTTCGTCGTCGTCGTCGTCGTCGTCGTCGTCGTCGTCGTCGTCGTCGTCGTCTTCGTCGTCTTCTTCTTCGTCGTCGTCGTCGTCGTCTTCTTCTTCGTCGTCGTCGTCTTCTTCTTCGTCGTCTTCTTCTTCGTCGTCGTCGTCGTCTTCTTCGTCGTCTTCTTCTTCGTCTTCTTCGTCGTCTTCTTCTTCTTCGTCGTCTTCTTCTTCTTCGTCTTCTTCTTCGTCTTCTTCTTCGTCTTCTTCTTCTCTCTCTCCCCCTCTATCCCTCTATCCCCCTATCCCCCTCTCTCTCTCCCTCTCTCTCCCCCTCTCTCTCTCCCCCTCTCTCCCCCTCTCTCTCCCTCTCTCTCCTCTCCCTCTCTCTCCTCTCTCTCTCCTCTCTCTCTCCTCTCTCTCTTCTCTCTCTCTTCTCTCTCTCTCTCTTCTCTCTTCTCTCTCTCTCCTCTCTCTCTTTCTCTCTCTCTTTCTCTCTCTCTTTCTCTCTCTCTCCTCTCCCCTAGTAATACAAGCCCTATCCCTGTTGCTAATCCCAGTTGATGATCAAGTTGAGAAGTGTGACGATGCTCTCACATTTGCAGGTGCTGGAGCCCCCAGTCGCAATATTTCTTGAGGAAGTGGCTCATGAAGAAGAGGAATTGGTAGATGTAGATGACGAAGGGGTAAGGTCAATGAATGCATTCATCCATCCAATCATTGATTCTAGTTCTATTATTGGATAAAGTAGTATCCTTTTCTTATACTAGACAATCTAACAATACAATTAAAAAAATAAAAAAATATTCCATTAGGGTTTTTGTTTTTTCCTTTGATTTAAACTATTTCACTCTTGTAATTTTACAATGTTGTTTTAAATTTTATATTTTAGAATGAAAGAAACATTTGTAATTTAAAAGGCTATATTCCAGTATATCTAAACATGCGACCAATTGGGTCACAAAATGTAATTGGTTATGCAAATAAAACATAACTTAAAAATAAATTGGTTGATTGTCTAGAATATGAAAAGGATACTATTGTTAGCAATAATATGAAATTTAACAATCATTTTTCATCTCCCTTTTTAACAAGAAGGAATGGTGGGCAAGTCACATAACTTTAGCACCACCTATGCTTTTTAACAGTTCAAGGTATTGCAATGCATTTTTCATGGAAGTGCATGAGGGAATGGGGCTAATTGATGTATGTATTCGTTTCCATTTAATCACTTTTATTTTACGAGATAGAGGTAATTTAAAAAACAAATGAAATTATACATATTTTGTCTGTCATAATGAGCGTAATAAGACGAATCCAAAGATATACATATTGTCCTATGTTAGATAAACAATTTTTTGAGTAATTTTAATTTTTTGATGCTCATATTTAATGGATATTTTGAATGTTACAGTCCCTCAGTAAAGGTCATGCAGTGCTCTCCCCGTTAACATGCACTTTGGGCGTTACAATATCCTTTAAATATGAGTTGCAAAAAATAAAAGTACTCAAAAAAATGGTTTTCTAACATATGACAATATGTAGTATATCATCGCATTGGTATTCTTACGCTCGTCATAATAGACTTAAAAATATGTGTAGTTCCATTTTGGAAAGAAACAACAACAAAAAATACAACCAAAGTTATGTCAGGGTCTCATAAACTGCAAGTAATAATATGAAAATGAATACGTACATCAATTAACCCCATTCCCTCATGCACTTTTGTGAAAACTGCATTGCAATAACCTCAACTGTTCGAAAATTGTTGGAGATCCTAAAGTTATGTGACTCACTCTGTATATTAATTCTGGTGAAATGAGCTTAAATAAATTACAAAAAAGTTCTTTTGCATTTTTATGTAAAACATAATTAACCGTTAACAGTGAAATACATCATAAACACAGTAGAATTGTTCAACGTAATCTACATCCTTGTTGTGAAATTTAATGCTTCCAATTTTGACTTCATCTTATCCAGAATTCACAAAATGTACTTAAAGGTCAAAGTCAGTATTTTCTTCTGAAGAAGGTACAAAGTTCTATAATAAGAATGTTGATGTCTTGCAGGAGCTCTTGTTGTATGAGCAGGATCTCCACGTTGGATCGGAAAGGAAGGACAGAAACTGTGGGTCTCTAGGTATGCTTATTTCAAATGTCAACCCTTTTGGGTTGAAAAATATTAACAAATTCTTTCTTCAACTAGTGGTGTTAAAGCATGTACTTCACGTATTCTTCACGCAAAATAATGCGAAAAGTTCTCAACATTTTGAAAAATTGTACACGTCTTAACTTCAAAATCTTCAAAAAAAGCACAGATTTTGTTAATATAAAAAATCTCTATCTTCATAATTATAGTTGTAGGGAGATGCCGAAAAATTTCAGGGCTTTCAATGAAAATGAGACCTGCACCATTCTTGTAAACTTCTTTACACTATCCGATAACAAAATTTAATCCGAAACAATTGAACCATTTTTTTTTTTTTAATTGAAAATGTCCTAGATGCTTCAAGTAAAGTACCCCCAAAATTAAATCATGTTTCAAATTCAAGGGTCCGTGACATCAGCCATTTCAATTCGGGAATATCAATTTTGGAGAAAAATGGCTGACTGGCTTAGCTAGTAGCAGTGATCACAAATGAACAGACAGAAGCGTTAGCTGACATTCGATTTTTCTATATCAAAAATCCACAAAACATGGATTCTGGATGCTATGTGTTGGAGATATTTTTTCTAAATTTAGCAACTGGATTTATCCACTTTTTCAATACCAGGGTCCTGTAATAAGAGTTTTTCTGCCGTTTGCCATTCGCCATTCTTTCGCACAGCATTACAATAACTTCATCTCTACTTCATAGCTAGAAAGTAAAAGAGATGCTTTTATTACTTCAATACTTCTTTATTCAAATTTTACATGATGAGTCATTTCAGGGGAAGAAACTCATTGCAACACTTCACATTATTTTAGAAATAAAAAATTCAAATAGCAAATAAATATTTACCATTTTAGCTGCAGAAATTTAGATTTCTGTAGAAAGTGTTTTTTGTAATTTTGATTGTATAGCACTGCAACTTTATGTGCATTTTGAAGACTTGAAGCCCTGTAGACTTATGGAAGAATGTCTATATGTCCGTCTCTGAAGTAGGTTTTAGTTACTTTGAGGTTTTTAAAAGGGTTAACCCCAGCTTAGTTTTATTTTCTCGCACTTACTAACATAAGACGAGAAAGTGTTTTTGTAATAATGCACCGGAAAACTGTGCGTTTGCAACCAAAAACTCTTTATTGCGAGGCCCTGGTAACAAAAAAGTGGATTAATCTGGTAGCTAAATATAGAAAAAAATGCCTCTAATATGTGGTATAGCCAGAATCCAGGTTTTCTGCGTCCTTGAAACCGAGAAATCAGTTAACAGCAAAACGTCAGTCCGTTTCCGTGTGTGCCAACGTTGGCGCATAAACTGTTCGTCCAATTTTCTCAAAAAATTGATATTCCCCAATTGTTTTCGCTGATGAAACAGCCCCTGGAATTTGAAACCGGAATTTCAATTTTGGAGGGTACTTTACATGAAGCCCCTCAGACATTTTCAAAATTTCCAAAAGAATGACTCCAATTATTTTTTTAAAATTTTGTTGTTGGATATTGCAAAGGACATTTAAGAGAATGGTGCATATTTTTATGACTTTGAAGGAAGTGTTTGCTATATTTTCTAATCAAATAAATTGGTTTTACAGGAGGAGTGCCTGCTTCGTTGAACTCTCCCACTACCCAAAGTGCCTGCAACTGCACAAGCGATGGCAAGGCTGTAAACCAAACACTGATGAAGCTGGGAGCAAAGCTACTTGAGCATCGTCCATGCAAGAAGTGTTCCACATCACAGAACTTGAATATCCCTACACAAAAGCACAGCAGTGGTGTGTTTGAGTGCTCTGAATGCCAGGAGAGCTTTGCAAAAAGTGATTGTTTAGCAGCCCACAAGTGGATCCACTGGTGGGGAAAAACCCATAATTGCCCACTGTGTCAGATGAGTTTCAAACGTTCACAAAATTTTGTTTTGCACATGCGGGAGCACTCTGGGGAAGAACCTTACAAGTGTTTGATCTGTGAGAAGACTTTCAGAGGAAGAGGACCTCTGGTTTTGCACATGCGCACTCACACAGAGGAAAAATCACATTTTTGTTTTGTTTGTAAGGAGAGCTTCGAAAGAAGAGATGATTTTGATAGGCATGTGCAAGTTCATGCACAAGACACATCCCAAAGTCACTATTTGCGCCCAATCTATCCTAAAAGTGTGTTTGAACCTACAAAGATTTTGGTTACACTCACACCAACTCACCCAGAAGAAACCTATCATTGCTCAGTTTGCCAAAAGAGCTTCAAAAGAAGGGAACAACTTGTTAACCACATGCTGCTTCACTCTGGGAGCAGACGACATCCTTGTTCAGTGTGCAAGATGAGATTCACAAGAAGAGAACATCTTGATAGGCATATGAGGGTTCACACTGGAGAAAGACCTCATTGTTGTTCCATCTGCCAGAAAAGTTTCATTCAAAGTGATAATTTAGTAAAACACATGCGAATCCATTCAGGGGAAAGACCCCATGCCTGTTTTGTGTGTGACAAGAGATTTGCTCAGCGAAGTGTTTTAGTTACGCACATGCAGACTCATATCAGAGAAACAATATCTTGTCATTCGAAAACCAAGAGTTTCACAGGTAGTTAACTTGTAGTAGTTATACACATGGTGACTCCAAGGGGAAAATCCCTGTCTGTCAGAGGATGCATTGTTGCACATTCTGCCAGAGGCGTTCCCATTTAGCAAAGCACATTCAGAAAGACATTCCCTTACATCCACCTGTGAATGCCTCACACCTTTAAATATGCATTTTTAAGTTCTCTGGCATTAATACATGGGGTTTAATGATCTTATCATTAACAGATTCTTGGTAATATATTTGCCTAATAATGGATGAGCATGCTAGAAAACTACCTCCTCTCAGTTGAAACTTCTCAATGCAACATAGTATAAACAAAAAATCATATCTCCTGGAAACTGGCACATATTTTGAACTAGAACCTACAGAAAAACTTGTACGTTTTTCATGGGACTGAAAGGAAAAAATGTATAAATGAGACAAACATGCAATTGAAATTGAATTATGAGCAAAACCAGGGTGGTCAGTATACTTGGAATCTTAAAAAGCAGGAAAAACTGGAAATTTGATTTGAAAAGTGACATTTTTGAGATGTATCACCATATTGAGTGAAGTGCAGCCAGTGAACGTTCGCATTGAGAGGGAGCATGAAGAGAAGGAGCACGTGGGAGGAACTAAATCGCGTCCCCCTCCTCCCAAATATTTGACACTTTTGCAGTAGAAATGGCACTTCATCAGCTTCCACAATTCAAGGCAAGTACGTTCATTTATGATCCTCCTACAGAAGGTTGCTGCAATGTCACAATGCAATTCCACTTGAGATTCTATATTTCAAGTAGATTGACATTGTTTGCACATTTGAGGAGAAATATATTTTTTGGTTTCTGAATCGTTCTCATTTATTCCTTACAGAGACAATTATATTGCCACATGTGTGCAGTCTCTCATCTCTCTAACAGAAAAGTTCTCTGTTTTAAACTTGTGGTGCTACAAAACGGTACAGACTTTCTCTCACAAGTTAGTTTTCTAATCATTTTATTTTAGGGTAACTTTCCAGTTTTGACCCACTCTTCCCAGCGACTATCAGTGCCTAAACGAAAGTTTTTCATTTTTTCTCAATATTTCAGTCCTCTAAGAGTAGAATTGAAATATGTCTTTAAGAATATTACAGAAGAGTAAATTAGTCACGTGTATTTGCAAATTTTCATTGAAAAGTTTGGAGCCATTCTTGAGAGAAATGTTAATTGCAGGTTTCTGAAAATGCGCAATTGGAACTTTGTTTTACAGAGATATTTTGAGTTTTTGGGAAACACCCTCAGAAATCATTTGACGCACCAACTATTGAACAACAAATAAACATGTGGTTTTAGAACATCCACGATGTCACTATGAGGATACAAGAATATTACATTCTGATAACGCTTTGAAAGTTTTGTTTTTAGAGAGTCTTGTTTTACGTTGTTTCCAAATTAAAGAATGTATTAGTTCAACACTTTCACAAACACTGCATCAAATAAAGCGTGAAAACTTAGTGCACTCTTGTAATGTAAAATGGTAAAATTATATTATTATTTGACCATCTTACGTAGGGAAAATGGTCATACCTAGGGACACTTTTCACATTTCAATTTTTTTTTCACATCCTTTGAATATGACATTGTTGATGTTCTTCTTTTTGACATGTTCACATCTCAGCCTGTTTAATAATCATATTTTAAATGATTATAATTTTTAAGAATATTCTATAAGGTTCATTTTAAGATAAAAAAGTACAATTGAATAAATGTATTTTTTTTTTTTTTTTCATGGAGAGAATATTTAAACTAGATTACAATAAATAGTGTGTCAAGGAAAAAATTAATTTTTGTTGCTCTTAATTGCAACCAAACCCGACTTAGTTCTGGGGCTTGTGTTCTGTTCTCTATATCAACTTCCTAGGATATAACAACAGATTTTTTTAAGTAGGAAAGACTTCAACCTAGTTTATAACTTGTAAAGGAAACATGGAAAACAAATGTTTGCTACCTTTGAGAACAACTGAGCACAGGTGGTCAGGGAGATTAACTTTTATATCCTCCACACCTCCTTCTTATGTAGCAGAACCATCATCAATTTTGAACGAGTGTATCATTATATGTGCATTTTTGAAATATTGCCCAAAAAAGTTTTCACATTTGTCCTTTTCTATTACTGAACTAGCATGGCCAGTTTACATGCTCAAACCAATTGAATTCAATATAATACTACATTTATGTACCTAGGGATGTCCCTAGATACTTAAACAATCACTGTCCCTAGGTACACTGATTTGCATTCTTGAGTGAACATGGCTACTGTTAATTGTAGGTTACCTGTAGGAAAGAAGTATGCACCTTGAATTAACTTCATTCTATGCCAATAAGTGTAGGTCAACTTCAATTTTCGTTGAGTAGTAGAAGTTGAAATTGATGAAAAAGAAATAAAAAATTTTTACTTTGCTCTTATTAAATCTGTTAAACTCATAAAATCGCAGAAACTGCCCACACTACAAAATTATTTAGCTGATTAATGACAAATTGCAATAGAAATGTAGAGAAAAAGTTGAGACTTCTTGAAAACATGCTTTGTCCCTAGGTACGACAATATCCTCTACTGCCCATCTCTGGCAAACCTTCATTAAAAACCATGAAGTACTGCACACACATTGTTCAATAATTTCTTAAATATTCTAAGATTTATCAATTCCATAATAGTTCTTGAGGAAAAGTTGTCTGAGCAGTTTTCTTTACAGCCACTTTTTGTGTGCATATGAAGAATTAATTAAAATTGACCGAAACAGAATGGTTTGGTAATGAATAAAAATTGTAATGTGTGAAACAAAACCTGCAAAATGTATATTCTCAAATCTGGAAAATAGGGGGAAACCTTGAATTCCAAAAAGCCAGATCACTAGTCACCCTGGAACAAAAACTCAGATTTTTACATTGGTGCGCTCCACTTTTGGACCTGCTTGCATCTTTCCTTTTCATGATTTTTGATTTAGTCAAAGAACAGTAAAAATTATTTGTCATATGGGGAGAAATACCTATGCTCACATTTTCTTGAACTCCAGAAACTCTTGTCAACATTTTAACTGTAAATAGTTGAATGATGAATAAAAGTTTTAAAAAAAGCGAAGTAAGCAACTTCTGAAAATAAAACATTATTGCTCCTGAGTTTTTGAAAACTTATTTGCAGTAGTAAACAAACTGCAGATGTTTTTGTTTTGCTAACAGAACTAAAACACACTCCTTGCTCTACTCCTACCACTATTAGTAAAATATATGGTCAACAAAAACGTGCTTAGTGAAACTACATTTATGTCCAGAAGCAAAATGAGGAACCATCTCAGCATTTGCTCAATGGATTAAGGAAACTAGACAAAAACCTAATCGAGACTGGAAACTGAAGTACATTAAGTTGTTACTTAGGCCGACATCACGTGAGTGTTATGTTGAGGGTTAAGTAATGCATATCGTAGATTAACATGAAATGGCACACAATCACTTTGCCTGTTCTGCATCAGATGCAGTGTTAATCTACTTACTTTAACTCTCTTTACATAACTTAACATCAATGCAATGCGCATGTGATACAGGCCAGGCTTAGGAATGAGGCCAGTGGAAAAGAAAGCACTGATATTCGCACATTATGCAGCCAGTCTTTTAATGTATAAATCTTTGGTTCCCTCGAGTTTAAGCATTTCATTTAAATTTGCCAAATTTTTATTGTGTTGGTGAAATTATGCACAGATGATCTGATGATACTAACACTCCTATTTGTTCATCCTGTAGTTTTGTCCAAAGTTCCAAAATGGAGAGTTGAAACGAGTTGAAATGCCTGCAGAGTGACCAAGTTAAGCAACCTGAATACTGAATTCAACACACAAATTTTGTGGGAGCCTCTATGATAATAACATGAATGCTCTCACTTGTTGGTCACCTATGTCATTTTGGATGCTACAGTCTTTCATGATGGATGTATAAACATTAAACTCCTATCCAGTGGTGGATCCCCCAAGGAAACACTTAGAGTTTTTGTTTGTTACCTTCCTTTATTTTGTGAAATTGAATTAATATTTCTGTATGTTAGAATTATGTAATTATTTAAACAATCATATTATATAGTGCCAAATATATGCTACAAAAGCAATATACAATATATAAACAAAGATGTTTATTATTTAACATAAATCTACGATAGACCCCCACAAAATGCTTGGTTAGAACTGGGCCTGTGCATGTTTGAAATAATTTAGCATGGGAAGTACAGGAATTTATCCAGGACTTACAGAAAACAATGTACAAAGGTGAAAAACATAAACAAAGTTTTGATTTATTGTTATAAGTAACTATCAGGAGAACCCCTCCGGAAGAGTAATTTTATTAATTTTCTGATCCAATGAATGTCATTTAGTATATTATAGGTAATACGACGAGTGCTAGAAACATTATCGATAAATTCGACATGCGAAGTGATGAGGAGATTTATCTGAGAATTTCTAAAGCACGAGTGGCATTTAAATTGGATTGAATAAGCGATAAACTTTTTGAGATACACCATCCTATGTCTGGGCATTTTGTATGTATAGTTAAACACTATTGGTTTTAATTTCACGAGAGGAATAGTCATAAACATTACATATAAGTCAACAAATAAAATAATTTTTTATTCAGTATGAATAAAAAATTAATATGAGAAACCTTGAAGTCAGCTGGACACTATACAAATTTCCTCCATCCACTGAGAAATATCCTATGTGCACCTCTGATTAAATTGAATGTGTTTCTCTTTAAAGTGCATTCTGTAGACTGTATTATTTGTGGTTACTATGAAAAGTTTCAGAGATTCTAGAATGTTGAAGAAAAGTAAGTTAATGAATTTAAAGGAAGAACTCAAATCTGTAAGCGGAAGAGAAAATTAAATGTTGAAACATGACCTTGCAATTTTCATGTGGATTTTGCTTATTTTAAAGAAAAAACATATGTAACATAAAAGTATTTGTTAAGTACTGTAATATGATTGTCTTATTGTGTAACATCCTACACCTTTTACTGCCTTATATACATAGTGTAGATATAATATTTCGTGGAGGTGTCCACATGTACACAAATTATTCATGCATGAAATTACAAGTGGACATGTTAGCACCAATTAGAAGGTAAATACTTTTTATAATTTTCTTCTGTTTTCCAAAATCATCTTTTAAATAAAGTTCAATATGTGGGTGTTGTACCTGGAACACGGAATAAAACTTTTTATTTGGTGTTAAGCACTGGTAATTATTTTTTAATTGAAATTATGACAGCTATATAATTTAATATACATATTTTATCCAGTAATCTAATCATTTGTAGGGAGCAGAATTTATTGTAATAAAAAAATCAAAATGTGTGTGTGTGTAATATAAAGAAAAATTAGAAAATATAAAAAATCGTTTATCAGCAGCAGCGGCAGGATAGTAGGTCTCGTTCCTGCTCCTATTAAGACAGTAGATCTGGTGGTCATTCCTTCAGATGTTCATGACCAATCTTATCGTTTGTTGGGTTTTCCTATATTTCTTCAACCTATGGGTTTATACTTCTCTGGTTTTCTTTAATGTCATCCACTATGTATTTTTGCTTTGAGTTTTTTTTTTCCTGATTTCAGTGTTTCTTTGTTGGTCAAATCATGCAATTCCTACTAGGCACCGGAAGAGTCTCATTTGTGGGGCTTCTAATCTCTGACAGTCTCTGTTTTAAAGTTCCATATTTCTGATCCATACATTTAACATTGGCTTAAATGTTATGTTGTGTATTCTTAATTTTGTCATATCTTTTCCAAAGTTTTTCTTGAATATGCCATTATATTTTTTATAATTTTTCTTTCTTGATCTTCTGAATTTTCTACTATGATGTTTCCTAGACACATAAATTTTGCTACTTGTTCTATTACGTTTCCATCTACAACAATTTTAACCCTTCTCATTTCTTTGCCTTGAAATGCCATAGCTTTAGTCTTATTTGTAAAGTTTTCGTGTCGTATGTTGGAGCTATTTCATGAAGTTCATTTGCTGCCCTCTGTAAGTCATCTTCTGATTACATTGTTAGGATCATGTAGTCTTCATAGAGAATCATTTTGTTTAAATTTATACTAGTTTTCACTTTTTGATCATACGGTT